CCTCTGCAGGCATTTTACCCCCACTCCCATTATGGAGCGTTTCCTCAGGGCCAGGCACTGTGCCGATCCCTTTGGTAGCTCAAGGAATCAACACAGTAACCGTGGGGTAGGTACCACATTCATCTCTACAGGCCCAGGAAGAGTGGGCACGGCCAAAGCCCAACTCCAGGGTACAGGGGGCATCAGTGTACCCTGACTGTAGCTCTCCAGCCTCTGGAGGCAGACAGTCCTGCCCTGCCACCAGGGTTTGTTCGGAGCCCCATGACCCTGTCCTCCTGGCCCCTGGCTTCCGGTCCTAGAGCCCCTCCCCAGATGGCATCTCCCGTGTCTCAGCCTCTCTCTGGAGTGTCCGCTGGGGCCTCGGTCTGGAATTACAATACAGTCTTGAGATGCAGTCAGCCCTTCTCCCCAGCTCCTCTTTTCCCCATCTTCCCAGGGTGCCAGTCAGTTTCCTTTTTCCCATTTCCTGACCCTAGATTTTGGGTTTTTTCCTCTTTTACCAATTTTTGAGCATGTAACGTGTCCCATGCCTTTGCTGAACCCTTCGTGTGCCTTAGGAACTTTCTGCAGCAGCCCTCTGCAGCCTTTTCGCAGATAAGGAAATTCAGAGACACAGTGTTTTGCAGAGGGCTGTGCAGTGAGCTGAGAAATTGGAACCCAGGTCATCCAGGTCAGTCTGATTCTAACTAAGCCAGTGAACTTAACCGCTCATTCATCCGTTCGGTCAGTAATTGGCTGTTGAAGTGTGTGCTCTGTAAACCAATGTGGACATGCTTCTTGCCTCCCTGGAGCTTGTGATGTGTGTGGGAGATACACATGAGAGGAATGGATCCTCCAGGTGAATGGAAGGGTCCGGCCGCGTGAGTGCTCAGAAGGCGGAAGCACGGTCTGCAAGAGTTGGGCCGCTTGGGCCGCTGCCGTGCTGTTGTCAGGCCTGGGCCCGCCCTGCCGTTGGGAGTATAATTTCCTTTATATCCTCACAATCACAAATGCAGATAAACGCACACAGGTTCACGTTCCCCTGCTGGAACCCGGGAAGGGCTCTTTGCCGCAATTAAAGGAGGGAGGGCGGGGAACACATTTGAGCACCCGTGTGTGAGATCCAGCTCACGACAAGCCCAGACATTCTTCTTTAGCACCTATTGGAAGTGAAGCCACAGTTACTGAGCTGAGAGGAACCTGGCGACCGGTGGAAAGTAAAGATGCAGATGGGTGCAAAGTGGGCCAGCAGTGGCAGCTGGGGTTCGGGGCCTGGGTTTCGGGGTCTGGGTGTCAGCCCTGCCCAGGTTGGAAGCCCAGTCCTGACTTATCTGTTTTAGCCCTGGGGTCTGGTGCAGGGCGGTTATGTTACCTGCCTGAACCTGGGCTTCCTCGTCTGAAGGGCAGCAGTACATACTCTGCCTCACGGATGTGCTCTGAGGACTCAGTGAGGGTTCTGCACGCGGACCTCAGCCTGGTGCCCGGCAAAGGCTTACTGCAGGGGCACTGTTGCAGTGCTCAGCCTAGTTCAGGGCATTCTAGCTCAAGTGCTGAGAAGTGGAATTGGTTCCCCTCCTGGTGCATGTGTAGGCTTCTCCCGGGCTTTCCCCAACAGGCCTCCTCTCAGCCAGGGGGTGGGGGGTGATGCTTCCCACAGGACTCCTTCCCAGGTCCAGAAGGGACATGCCATTGCTCACTGTTTGCCTTTTGTGTGTCCCGTTACCCCAGCTTCAAATGCTCTTTCCCTGACCCCTAGATATCCTTCAGGTCCCAGCTCTCATATCACTTCCTCAGGGGAACCTTACCCTCTTTCCACTCTGCTCTCACCCCATGGCTTCTCCTGGGAGAATACGCATCACCCTCATCCGCTCAGCGTTACTTGTTGAACCTCTGTCTTCCTTGCTGGGCGGCAGGGACAGGTGTCTTGCCTCTCTTAGGTCCCCGGAACCCAGCACAGGCCGTGGAACGAAGCAGGTGCTCAAGTATTTGTTGAATGAGTCAGTCTGGGCTCCTGAACTGCAGTGGAGAGGGTGGTAAAGTGTGTGGAGCAGTTTGCCAGGTGGTGGGGAAAGAGGCCTCCTGGTGCAGAGAAGAGAGCAAGAGATGCGGTGGGAGAAACGATGATCGGCATCTTTCTGAGCCTTTACTATACATGCAAGTACTCTGCTCGCCGTTCTATACACGTGATTTTGTTTGAGCCGCGCAATGTTTCCATGCGGTGTTCTCCATTTTACAGGTTGAGAAAGGGGAGACTTGAAGAGGGGAAGTCCCGTTCCCATGGTCACTCAGCAGGGGATTTGAACTTGGCAGGCTGACTCTTAAGGGCTCACAGACATAAGCTCTAAGCTGGGTGGCCTCCTTGTGGGTAGAGGGGTCAGTAAAGAGCCCTTCTGGCTGACTGGAGGTCGCTGTGCAGCGGTGTGTGTGTGTCTGTGGTAGCCGTGGGAGATGGAGAGGACGGGGTAGCGGCGGTCAGCCCTGGCGAGGCCTTGAATGCCAGGGTGAGGAGTTTGGGCGTCTGATAATAATAGCTACTGGTTCTTGAGCTGCCTGCCACTTTATTAGATTATTTAACCTTTACAGCGACCCTGTGTGATAGATATTATGATTTTTCACCCCAATTTTACAGCTGAGAGCTGAGACAGGAAGCAGTTGTAGGAACTTGCCCAACGTGTGACACATTGGGAAGGTGGCCGAGCCGGGATTCAGACCCTGTGCATCAGGCCCCAGAGCCCACCGCGGCTGTGGTGGCTTAATCACCAGGCCGTGCTGCCTGCCGCTGCGGGGTTGAGCCTGCAGAGCCTCTGCTGCTCCTGACATGGGTGTCTGCTCCCCCCTCTCCCCCTCCTTCCCTCCGCAGCATCCCCAGAGGCAGCAGCAGCACTTCTCGTCCCTGGATGACAAGCCCCAGTTCCCAGGGGCCTCGGCGGAGTTTATAGACAAGCTCGAGTTCATCCAGCCCAATGTCATCTCTGGGATCCCCATCTACCGCGTCATGGACCGGCAGGGCCAGATCATCAACCCCAGCGAGGATCCCCACGTGAGAGGCTGCTTCCCCCCGACCCCGTGCCTCCACGCCCAGGCCCCTTGCCCGTCTCCTCCCCTCTGGTCCCAACTGGCCCACATATGTCTGTGCCTCCATCTGCAGCTGCCCCAGGAGAAGGTGCTCAAGTTCTACAAGACCATGACGCTGCTCAACACCATGGACCGCATCCTCTATGAGTCCCAGAGACAGGTGCATGGGCACGGGCTGGGGAGAGGGACGTGGGGTTACCTGAGGTCCCCCTACCTGTGTTTGGGCCAAAAGACAGCTCGCAAGGAGGAGGGAGTGCAATGGAGATCCTTGTCTTGAGGTCCTTAGAGTTCTTGGGGTTCTGCTGGGGCTCTGGAGGAAGAGGGTGGGAGGGTCCTGCCCAAGGGCAGAAGGGTGGACCAGATCACGGAAAGCCTGCTGTACGCCGGGCTGGGGACTTAGCTGTGCTGGGAGAGGGCAGGCAGGAGAAGACTGGACTCCCCTTCCTGTCAGGCGCTCACAGTCCTGAGAAACAGGGTGGCTCTCGGTGCTTCCGGGAGTGCCCGTGTCCACTGTGCTGCTGTGGGGCACTCAGCTGTGTTAGCATCAGCTGACAGAGACCCAGTCAAAGCAGCGTCAGCAAAGAGGGAATTGGGTGACTCGACTAACTGCAGGTCCATAAGGCCCTGTTTCAGGCACAGCTGGACCCAGCAGGCTCAAAACATGTTTTCAGACGCGTTTCTCTCTCTGAGTGTCTTTTCGGCTCTCCTTTGCCTTGGCTTCCTTCATTCTCAAGCTGCGGTGGTCTCTGGAAGCTCCAGATTCACGGAGAGGTGGCAGAGAAAGGGTTCAGGGTACGGGCTCTGGAGCTAGACTGCAGTTCGAGTCCACATTCTGTCACTCTCTAGCTTTGTGGCCCTGGGAAAGTTGCTTAGCCGTTCAGTGCTTCAGTTTTCTCGTCTCTAGCTACTTTATGGGGTTGCTGTGAGGATTGATGGTGGCCTGTGTAGTGGCCTTAGGAACAGTGAAACTGGCATTTGTCATGGATACCAGTCTTGCAATTATTATCCTTTCTGTTTAGCAGTGGAAAGAGAATGTCTGGTCCCTAATGTTCCAGCAAAAGGTCCAGAGCTGATGCTTATTGGCCAGGCTTTGGTCACAGATTCCCCCCTTGAGCCAGCCCATGTGATTGACCGGCCAAGCTGGGGCCACGTGCCCATCCCCAGGAACCAAGGGCGCAGAGGCCTGGAGTCCGTCCCTCCCAGGCTGCGGAGACGGAGAGCAGGAGCGTGGGGTTCCTGTTAGGAAAGAGGGAAGAATGCTGGGCAGGCTCGTCCTCAGGAGTGTGGATGGGCTTGGCAGTCTGCACTTGTATCAGGCCCCCAGGTGACCCCACTGTGACCCCACTGTGCACTGAAAGCACAAGGCCCACTGAGGACAGTTCTGAGCAGGTCAGGCGGGCAGCCAGCTCCCTGGTTCTCTTGCTCACAGGAGCACTACGTGTGGGTTCTCCATCTGCCCAGAAACTTCCCTTGGCTCCTACCGTCCACAGGATCAAGACCTGCCCTTCCTGTCCACCCCGTCTCCCATTCACTGTGGCCTGGGCCATCTGCTCCCCTCTGCATGGGCTTAGTGCCAGGCCACCCCACCCCCACCCTCTCTCACATGGCCGGGCTCCTTCCTGACCCCTGGGTTGTCTGCACAGACGGGGGCTTTGGAACCTGGCAGACGTGGGTCCAGTCAGAAATGTGACTTTAGGCAGGTGATTTTTCTTGTCTTTGCCTCGGTTTCCTTAGTGTATTAAAACATAGAAATAACGACAGAACCCACCCCACCCCACCCGACCAGGTGGGGGTGGGAATTCTGTGAGACCCGGCACGTAAAGCCCCTCGCCCGTTGGCTGACACAGGGAACCCTCAGTAAGATCAGCTCAGCCATCAGGTTTCAGCCTTCCTTAGCTAGGGTTATCCCAGCAGCCCCCCCATCCCAACAGAAACAAAAGCAGTAGTTTAAACAGATTAATAGGTTTTTCTCTTTTGCATGAAAGAAATGTGAAAACAGGTGGTCGGGGCTGGTGTGGTGGTACCACAATGTCACTGGATACCCAGCACTGGCTTCTAGCCTCCAGGGCCCCTCATAAACCAAATGGCTGCTGGAGCCCCCTCCGTCACGCCTCGCTCCAGGCAGGAGGCAGAAGGAAGGTGGAAGGTCAAGCGTGGCACCGCCCAGCTGTCTCCCCACACCCACATTTATAGAACTTTCCAGGCAGCCCCACCAAAAAACATCACACGTTTCATCGGTCACTCCCAGCTGCAAGGGAGACTGGGAAAGTAGTCTTTTAGTCCGGGCAGGTGCTGTCTGTGGTGGAATGAGATCTGCTAGAAAAGAGGAAGAGGGATCTGATACTGGGTAGGCAACCAGGGACCTCTGCCCCCAGCCCAGGTCCTGCTTCCTCAGGGGGCCCCCCCTCAGGCTCCTCCCCACACCAACCTCGACAGCCCTGCCAGGCCCTCAGCACCCAGCATCCGCCCCACTCATTGCTTTCAATTGGCTCCCCACCTGGAAGAAAGTGTTGTTCATCTGTGGTTCCCCCCCTGCGACAGGAGGCCCCTGCGGAACACATGAGACCTGGGCACAGGGTGTCCTGCAGCTGCTGACCCGGTTGGCTCCATTTTTACCTTACATACAGTCCTGCTTACCTCCATCTCTGTGCCAGGCCTCCCGGATCTCCAGCCAGACTTCACCTCTTAGCCCCCGATCTGCTTGGCTTCTCACCCTGGGTGTCCCTCACCAAATTCAGCCCATCCAGGCTTGAGCTCAGCACCTTCCTCCCGGACCTGCTCCTCTTCCGCCCTTAGGCCATTTCTCAGTGATGGTACCGCCGTCCACCCATTTGCCCAAACTGGAGACCTACTGGTATTCCCTGTCCCCTCCCACCCCCTCACTATCACTTTCCCCTTTCATTCACTCTGCCCTTAGGTAGTTAGAAATCCATTCTGCCGCTCAGCACCACCGTCAGGAACCCAGACTTCTTTTCTGCTTCACCATCGTGGGCGACTTGGCTTTCGGCCCCTGCTTCTTGCCTCACGTTCACAAGATGGCTGCCACAGGTCCAGGCTTCATGGCTGTGTGCAAACCTGGAGGGAAGGGGCGGCAGCAGCTGCAGTGACCTCTTTTATCAAGAAAGCAAAAGCAGAATTCCGCTTAATTCTCTGCCTAGAACTTGTGTCCTGTGGCCACTTCTGACTGTAAGGGAGGCTGGGAACATATTTTTCCAGGCTCTGGGATTAGGGGGCTCAGGAGAAGGGAGTTGCCCTGGGCACTGGTGTAGCGAACCAACAGGGGCTGCCGCTCCCTGCACCGCTCACTCTGCTTCTCAAGACTCTCAGTCATCCTCTCCCTGCCGCCTGCCACCACCAGGCCAGGCCGCGCCCCCTCCCACCTGGCGCTTGGCACTCGTTCCTGTCTCCTCCATCCGTTCCCACGTGGTAGCCTGAGAGACATTTTTAAAACATCTCTCCCCTGAGAACTGTTGGCGGGTTACCGTCGTCCTCAGGGTAAAGTCCGGATATGTCGTTCCCTGCCTCTCTCTCCCTCCTCGTCGTTCTCCACCCCTCCCACTTTGTGTCCCAGCCCTTCTGACCTCATGGCCTTTCTTGTTCTCTCTGCCTGGAAACCTACACCCTGCCTACCTTTGCTCGGCATAGGCATTGCTCCTCGATGCCCCTCCACAGTGGGGCGGGGACCCCTTCAGCCCCCATCACGCAGCCCCATCACCCTGGCTGTAACCAACCTGGCGGTTCCTCTGTGAAGGCAGGGACGCCAGTGTGGCCTGGCCCAGAGCCGGCCTCCAGGAAGCATCTGTTGAACCACAGAGTGGTCGGAAGTCGGTCAGTGTTCGGATGTTTCTCTGGCATTGCCCAGTCTAACTGAACCTGCCCTCTGGGCCCTCCTCCACCCCCAGGGCCGGATATCCTTCTACATGACCAACTATGGTGAGGAGGGGACGCACGTGGGGAGTGCCGCAGCCCTGGACAGCACGGACCTGGTGTTTGGCCAGTACCGGGAGGCAGGTACGTCTGCCCGTGGCCCGGCCCTGTGGAGCAGGTGCCAGGGACCTGGGTCTGTGGTCCCCATCGAGACTAGTCAGGCCCAGTCCCTCCTGCTATGAAGGCGAGGCCCACATCAGTTACCAATGTGCTCTTCTAGGAGCGGCACCTTGCCAGAGAGGCCTAAGGGTGCTTCCCCTCCGCGGAGGCCTGGCAGTATTGTAGTTAAGAGCCTGTGCTCCTGACCATTCCATGCCCTGCTGGTGACCAGTTGTTCGATTTTGGGCAAGTCACTTCCGTTCTCTGAGCCTCAGTTTTCTCATCTTTGAAATAGAGATTATGATGGGATGGCAACCCCTTGCGCTGTGGGGCTGCCGCGAGCCTGCAGTGAGGTCAGGCCGAGCTGGCCTCTTCCCAGGTGCCGTGTCCTTCACGCAGCCACAGCCAAAGCAGATGGGTGGGCGTGTTCCAGCCTGGGAGTGGCTAACTTCTGAGTGAACGAGGGAGAGGATGGAAGGAGCGACGACTAGGAATGAAGAAAACGGATGAGTGTTAAGGAGAGACTGGGGGTGCAGGAGTGAGCCCGGGGAGCTGAGGGTGGGGTTCCACAGCAGTTGTTGGTATGGGGCCCAGCAGGGGAGCCAGACCTGACCCTTCCTCTCAGGTGCTGCCCGATCTTGGGCAGGTTGCTTAACTGCTCCTTGCCTCAGTTTCCTCATCTACTGGGGGAGACAGTGAACCTTCCCAAGACGGTTGTTGAGGGGTTTCAGAGAGCAGATGACGTAAAGCCCTCAGCACAGGGCCTGGCGTGGGGTAAGCACTCGGAGTCAGAGGCGGTGTCGTGACCAAGGCCTCTCACCCGGGGACAGCTCTTCAGTGGGGAGGTGTGGCCTGGCCAGGCAGGCTGCCCAGAGCGCTCCCGGGACCAGCACAGCCTTCCAGTCTGCTCTCAGACTATCTACTGTCTCAGCTGCACCAGACCCCCCCACCCCACATGCTCCAGGGGAGCAGATGCCCTGTGATACCGTCCGTGTTCCGCATCATTAGGTTTGCCTGGGCACTGGGCCGCGAGCCAGGCCCCTGCCACGTTTGCTAAGCGCTTCCCACTGTTTCTGCTGAGGGGATCTCTCTGGGGAGGGCTCCAAGCAGGGCCTGGAGCGAGGGTCCTGGAGTTACGGGCGGCCGCAGGGCTCTGCACATGGGGGCTGTTTGGGCCCCAGCCGCCTCTGCAGGAGTGAGCCGTCCTGCGCCAAGGGTCACGGAAGGCCCTGCATCCAGACAGCTGCTGAGGCGCCTGTGAGGGGCAGGGAGGAAAGGCAGGCCCCGCTTGTCCCCGTCCTGACTGGGCCGCTACTCCCCATGCGACTCTGTGTCTCCTGTGAAGTGAGGAGAACAAGGGCACTGAGAACGGTAGCGCTCACTGAGCTGTCCTCAGTGCTGGAAACCCTGGAGCCTGTGTCGGTTCCCCTCACAGCAGAGTGGAGGCCCCTGCCCACCTCCCACTGGAGTGGCCGCAAGGGACCCCCGCCAGCCCCACCAGCTGTGTGAGCCAGCTAGTGCGAAGCTCATATCAGAGAGGTGTGGCCTTGTGGCGCCTTTGATGATGAGGTGGGCATCCACTGGGGTTTTGTTTGAAGAAAGGATTTTACTGCCATGAGCAGGTTTGAATATTTCCTCTCTAGTCCACAGGTCGTGAGCACGGCCCATACTTCTTTTTGGTTCATATGATGATTTTTTTTAAAGTAGATGAATTAGTGGAAACTCTTAAATCAGGTAGCTTCCCCTCCTCTCCCCTAGCGCCCCCCCCCCCCAAAAAAAAAACACGCTGGATTGCTCCTTTTGAAAAGCTGGACCACCTGCCTCCCTGGGCAGAGGTCGATTGGTTTGAACAGCAGCCTCCGTCTTGAGGCAGGCCTGTGCTTTCTGCTCAGCCTGCCTGCTTCCTGCACCCGCCTGGTCCCTATGAGCATCCGAATGCGCCTTCCCTGCTGTAGGACAGTCAGCGGAACGGGTCCCGGGCAGGAAGGGCCTGGCCCAGGGGCCCTCACAGGGTGGGCCTGTCCTGCACACCACCCGCCACGGTAACCCTGCCTTCTCCTGCACCAGGCGTGCTCATGTACCGGAACTACCCCCTGGAACTGTTCATGGCCCAGTGCTACGGCAACGTGAGCGACCTGGGCAAGGGGCGCCAGATGCCCGTCCACTATGGCTGCAGGGAGCGCCATTTCGTCACCATCTCCTCTCCACTGGCCACGCAGATCCCTCAGGGTGAGGATGCACGCCCCGGGCCCGCACACACCGTCTGACGTCATTACCCTGCTCGGGCCTTAGACTCCCCCATCCCTTCCGGGGGCTTCCTGGTGGCGCCACGGTCCTAGCGCTGGCCTGGGCTCTAGACTTACACCCCTCTTGTCTGGGACCCTCGCAGGAGGGCTCTAGTGGCGTCTTCGCCCCATTCGGCAGGTTTGAGTACAGTCACGCTGTCAGTTTCTCACGCTTGTGCCCAGCCCGTGTCCGTTCACCGGCACAGCCAGCTGCGTGGGACTGAGCGTGTGCCAGCTTCCTTACTAAAGGTCACCCGGCTGGTAGCAAGAAGCGGAGGCACTCAAATCGTGGACCATGTGGCTCCAGAGCCTGGGTTCTCCACCCCGGCCCTGTCCTGCCTCTGTCCTGAGTGACTGCCCTAAAGCTTACTCCGCAAGTCCACGATGCTTAGCGCAGTTGGTGTGGCTTCTGTTAAAGGTGACTGCTTGTGAAGCAGCCCCGCCAGGGGGAGGGCTGTGGCCACACAGTGCAAAGACAGGGATGTGGACAGCCCCCGCCCCCGCCCTGTGGAGCCTGCACTCGGTCGAGGGTCAGTCTCCTCCAGGGCAGACACGTGAACTGATGTGTACAGGGCTTAGAGTGCCTGGCATGTCAGAGGGCCCTGGGCATGTTCGCCCGGTGTGTTCTATTTGGGAACAGGAGCGGTTTGTGTCTGAGGTGGGAGGCGGACAGGGCAGCTTTCTGGGAAGAGGTAGCATTTTCACTGATTTCCATTTCGTAGGCTTTCCATAAGGTGGGGCCTGGCCCTCATCTTCCATTTGGGTGACCAGTTAAGTCACTCAGTTGGCCAGTGTACGGAGTCCATGCTGTGTGCTGGGTGCCATTCTAGGTGCCTTGAACAGAGGCAGCAAAAACCTCAGCCTTCCTGCTGCTGACACTGGTGGGAGAGACGGACAATAAACAGGATGAAGTAACACATGGAGTGTGTCAGGGGTGACAAGGCCCACAGGGAAAAGTAAAGCTGAGAGGGAGCGGTTCTTGATGGGGGAAGGTGGGGACAGCTGTCACCAGGTGACAGTACAGACCAGAAGGTGAGAGAGGGAGCCACTCGGGATGTGGAGGCGGGTGCCTGCTCGGTGACGTGTCTGAGGTGCCAGGAGGAGCCAGCGGGGCAGGTGTGGAGGGAGGGGTGCGCACAGGTGGGGTCTCAGGCTGTCGACTTTTGAAGACACTTTGACCCAGAGTGGCCCCGAGCTGGGGGAGGGGGAGGAGTCCGCTGCAGAACCACCTGCCGGCTCGGCTGCTACCCTGAGGGTAACAGCTTGGGTGGGAGGAGCAGGGGGCTGGGGAGGAGGCTGCTCGGGCCAGAGGTGGGGCTGGGACCACCAGGGAGAGGTTAGGGAATGGGGAGAAGGGGTCGGATTCTGGCTCCGCTTTGAAGGCCGAGCGGGCATGGGGGCGTGACAGAAAGTCAGGAGTCAAAGATGCTGAAGTTCGTGGCCTGAGCAGTTGGAAGGATGGAAGGATGGAGCTGCCGTCAGCCGACGGGAGGAGACTGTGGGCGGGGCAGCTTCTGGGGGGGGGGCGGCGGCTCAGGTGTTTTCTTTCCCCTCAGAGCCTGGCAACAGCTAGCCTGAGGGCCGGAGCCCCGGGTTGGGGTGCGAGGGTGTGGACGCGGGGAGGGTATGAGTGCAGGGAGACACGTGTCTCTGCTCCTGCAGCGGTGGGGGCAGCCTATGCGGCCAAGCGGGCCAACGCCAACAGGGTCATCATCTGTTACTTCGGAGAGGGCGCGGCCAGTGAGGGGGACGCCCACGCCGGCTTCAACTTCGCCGCCACCCTCGAGTGCCCCATCATCTTCTTCTGCCGGAACAACGGCTATGCCATCTCCACGCCCACCTCTGAGCAGTACCGCGGGGATGGCATCGGTACGGGCCCTGGGGGCTGCTCCCCGCTCTGCCTGCGCCCTCTCCTTCCTCCCCTCTCGCCCCACTCCCTGCTCCTGTCTCACCTGAGCCCTGGGGCCTGACCTGCCTCCCTGTCCCTACAGCGGCTCGAGGCCCCGGATACGGCATCCTGTCCATTCGCGTGGATGGCAATGATGTGTTTGCTGTGTACAACGCCACCAAGGAGGCCCGGCGGCGGGCCGTGGCGGAGAACCAGCCCTTCCTCATTGAGGCCATGACCTACAGGTGCCTGCCGCGCCCCCCGCCTCCGCCCCCGTCGGCCCCCAGCCTCGACCACTGCCGTCCTCAGCACCTCCCCCACGTGGATCACCGTCCCCGCGGTACAACCCCACTGCCCTGCACCGTGTAGCCCCTTCCGGCCTTTATTCCATTTCCCGCCTTCTCCCCTAGTCCCCCCCGTTCCTTCCTGACCCTCACCTGAGGGGCGCCAGCCTGACCCTGGGTCCCCCTCCCGCTGGTAGGATCGGGCACCACAGCACCAGCGACGACAGCTCAGCGTACCGCTCAGTGGACGAGGTCAATTACTGGGACAAGCAGGACCACCCCATCTCCCGGCTGAGGCACTACCTGCAGAGCTGTGGCTGGTGGGACGATGAGCAGGAGAAGGCCTGGAGGAAGCAGTCCCGCAAGAAGGTGAGGAAGGGCCACCCTCCGTTGGAAACCACCCCAGGGGTCGTGTTCCGGGATGGTGTGTCACGGAGAACCCTGGAAGGATGGGGAGGCTGGGGGTTGGGGGCCATTGAATTGGCAGAGACATAACCCTGGTGATGTCTCTAATGTCATGATGCCAGGACACGTGCACCTTAGCCGTGTTCTGCCCTCAGCTCCTCCGCCTCTGAAGAGGGATACTGGGGTACCCACCTCAGGAGCTTGTCTGAGGGTTTGCATCTGATTCAGATGGGGTGTAAGTGTCCACCAGAGTCTGTGCACTGCCCTCCTCGGCCCTGGTCATCAGACACCAGAAGCACTGCGGCCCAGTGGGCAGGGCAGACCCTGGTGTCGGGCAGCATGTGCTTCCTGGCTCTGCCCCTGACCACGGCATCGTGGGCATGTCCCTTCTCTGTGCCTCGGTTTCCTCACCTCTGAGCTGCCTGCTTCTTAGGGCTGCTGAGAGGCTGAATCGATTCCATACTCTTAGTATAGTGCCTGGTTCTGCTAAGGATGGAGATGCTGGGATTTGGGACATCAGTTGTCACCACTATTTTTTTTTTCTTTTTAATTTATTAAATTTATTTATTTTGGGCTGCCCTGGGTCTTCGTTGCTGCGTGCGGTCTTTCTCTAGTTGCAGCGAGCGGGAGCTACTCTTCGTTGCGGTGTGCGGGCCTCTCATTGTGGTGGCTTCTCTTTGTTGCAGAGCAGGGGCTCTAGGCGCGCGGGCTTCAGTAGTTGTGGCGCATGGGCTCTAGAGCGCAGGCTCAGTAGTCGTGGCGCACGGGCTTAGCTGCTCCGCGGCACGTGGGATCTTCCCGGACCAGGCCTCGAACCCTTGTCCCCCGCATTGGCAGGCGGATTCTTAATCACTGTGCCACCAGGGAAGCCCGTCACCACTATTTCTATTGTCCACGTGGGAACTTGAGGCTCAGGGGGTTAACCCCTCGCCAGGATCCCACAGGTAGGAAGCAGGTTCCTGGGTGAGAGGTCGGCTGCCTGCCCACTGCCGCTTGTCCCCCAGGTGATGGAGGCCTTTGAGCAGGCCGAGCGGAAGCTGAAGCCCAGCCCCAGCCTGCTCTTCTCAGATGTGTATCAGGAGATGCCTACCCAGCTCCGCAAGCAGCAGGAGTCTTTGGCCCGTCACCTCCAGGCCTATGGGGAGCACTACCCACTGGATCACTTCGAGAAGTGAGGCTACTTGGCCCATCCCCACCTACGCCAACTCTGCCTCTGAGGGCAGAGGCGGCCAGGGCAGCACTTGGGGCGGCTCCTGCCTCTCCATGCTGTTAACGTTGGTGGGGCCTTGGTCAGCCCCTTCTTCGCCTTTAGTTACAGGGTCTTCTCCCAGGGGCTGGGCAAGGGCACCTCCAGGACTGGAAGCCCCTCAGGGCTGGGGGTGGACGTGGCAGGTCAGCCTGTGGAACTTAGAGTGAGAGGTGGTCAGCAGGTAGTGAATAAACTATGTCTCTGCATTTGGCTTCATGCTACCTCTGGTTTCTGTTTCCTGGAGTTGGGGATGTGGGAGGAGAGGCCAGCATGACTGGTTTGGGACCACCCATGCTTCTCCAGTTGAGATAAATAAGGCCAAGGCTGTTGAGCTATCTTCTTCCTCCAGAAACTTTTGCAAGCTGGAAGGTCAGCTTCAGCAAACAGGATGGGGGTGGGGTCCTCCAGAGATGGCCTCTTGTCTCCCATAGAACGGGTCAAAGCTGGTGTCCAGCAAGGTGACCGAGAGGCCATCGGAGCCGGCCTTGCCCAGTAAGGGTGGGGAGAGCGTCTGGTGTGAAGGTCAGGGTGCAGCTGAGCTTTGCTCCGTAAACTGCCTCAAGGCCCCATAGACAGAGACGACAACTCCAGGCCCCGTAGACAGAGACGACGACTCCAGGCCTCAGAAACTGAAAGACGGAAACAGTCTGTCGCCTCTTGGGGAGGCCCAGGGAGGGCTCAGGCAGCCTCCATTCCAGGACCTCCTTCCTCGCACCGAGGCCTAGAAAGAGAGGCTGAGCAAGGGGCTGGCGCCAAGGCCCAGGCCAGGTCTGCCCTCCCCGCCCCGCCCCACCTCCGAGTCTCAGCACTGGAGCTGAGGGTCCCGCAGCTGCTTCCAGAGCCGGACGCTGTCCTGGGGGCTGAGGGGCCGCACCAGCAGCAGGTCACGGAAAGCACAGGGGTCAGCAGTGCGGCCTGCCGGCCAGGCCGTGAGGAAGCCTTTGTGGGTCCTGGGGGCCAGGCCCAGGGCTTGGAAGCACAGGCCGGTGTAGACATCATCGAAGGGGAAGGGGGCCACGCGGGCCGCCGCCCGCAGCAGCCAGGGTGCCAAGCGGCCCGCGATGATGTAGCCGCCCCCACTTGCGTAGGCTGGGTAGCCGCCTTCAAAGAAGGACCCAGGCACGTAGAAGGGTCCTCCAGGCTTCCGGAGGGGCTTGGCCTGGGTGAAGACCTCACCCAGGTAGAGGCCACGGGCCGTGCTGGGCGGCAGGGCCCGCAGGTGGTCCAGAAGGGCGGGGACGCGCACGAAGGCGTCATCCAGGGCTTGCAGGATGAAGCTCACGCTGGGGCAGTGGCGGCCCAGCCAGGCCAGCAGCAGGAGGTCCTTGAGCGTCTGGTTGAAGGGGGCGTCAAGGAAGTCCCAGAGCAGCAGGTCGCTGTAGCGGCGGCTCTCCCAGGCCACCAGGGAGCCTAGGTCAGGCCTCCCCTCGCCCGCTGGGGACCCCAGCAGGAAGAGCAGCCGGACCCCGGGAGCCGGCCTGCCCCACGTCTCCCTCACGGCCTGTCGTTCTGCAAAGCGCCCTGGTTCCGACTTGACGGCCAACAGCAGGTAGGGGACGTCGGGGTCCTCGCAGCTGGCCACCTGGCCACCGCCACCCCTGGGCAGCCACCGTGGGAAGCTCCGGCAGGCTGCCGACAGCAGGAAGTGGCGGAGGTCCTCGGGGTAGGAGGCGAAGTCGGGGATCTCGGCCGCAGCGGCAGCTCCCCAAGCGCGGCAGCCCCCCACCTCAGTGCTGTCCCCACTGGGCAGGGTCCCCAACCGCCACTGCTGCTGGTTCCAGTAGGCCGAGGGCAGCGGGTCAGTCTGGCCCAGACGGGCCGAGAGGTTAGCCGGCAGGGTGGGCTCGGGGCTGGCTGGCGTGGGGCCTGGTGGGGTGCTGCGGGGTCCCGGGTAGGCCTTACCCAGCCGGGGCTCAGACGTCCACTCGATGTACACTTTGAGGCCCAAGAGTGTGAGCAGTGCTGACAGGCAGAGAAGGCACTTGGGGCAGCGCATGACCCGGCCCAGGAAAGGGCAGCTGTGGGACCTGCGAAAGAGCCACAGAGGCCTTTTGGGGTGCAGGGGCGGGCCCTCGGGCCCTGCCGAGCCCTCCAGGGCTTCTCGTAGTCTCAGACCCTAAACCAGCCCTCCACCAACGAATCCCTATTCTACTCGCATTCCAGCACCCTGTTCTTTCCACTCAGCCTAGCTCCTTCTACTTTCGTAGAAACCCGGGAGGCTACCTATTCCCCATCCGCACCCCAGAGACCAGGGACTCCGCCATTCCAACCTCCCTCTCCCCCCAGTTCATCCCCCTTACCAGGAGTCAGTATCACCGGGGTCACCTCCTCACCCGACAGTCCCCACCCCAGGCACGGCTCCCTCCCCTTTACCTCTGGGTCTGGCTCTGGCCAGCTCCAGCGCCCTGGGCCTTGGGCCGGCCCTCTGCCCTCCTCCGGCAGCGCTGGTGTCTCCAGCACTGTTGTTCTCCAGCCCAGCCCAGCCCAGCCCAGCCCAGCTGGTCTGTGGGAGGCTGGGAGGGCCCCAGGGGCCGGGAGGGACCGGGGCGGGGCTGAGGGAGGGGAGGGGGGAGGACAGGAGGCAGACCTGAGGGATGGGGCTGTGGCGTGTTGGGGCTGGTTTTCTGGTGAGACAGCGGGAAAGGTGCAGGGGTGGCTGCAGAGACCGGGAGCTGACAGGCTGGGGAGGGGAGAACCAGGGGGCCTGGGAGAGAGTCCAAGGGAGGGTGAGGCCGAGGGGCTGGGAAGTGTCAGAATGGCCCAAGGGCAGGCAGAGTCCTGAAGTGGCCAGGCTGGAGGCCAGGGGCAGGGCCTGGCCGGGGGAGGAGGGTGTGTGTGTGTGTGTGTGTGTGTGTGACTGTGCTGAAAGGGCATGGGTGACCTTGCCAGAGGTGGGGGTGTGTGGCCCGGAGTCAGGGTGGGGATGGGGAAGGGGGCTGGTGGGGAGGAGGGGATACAGGCAGAGACCGACATTGCAGAGAAAGAAGAGACAGCCAGGGAGACCCCGGGGGCAGGCAGGGAGGAGACAGGCGGCAGAGATTCAGGAAGGCCCAGAGAAGAGAGCTGCAAGAAGAGAGAGATAGGACGGGAAGGTGGAGACAGCTGGCGAGAGATAAGGGAAGCCCTTGTGGGGGAGGGTGGAGAGATGTGCAGGGGCAGGTGGAGGGACGACGGGGTGGGAGCAGAGAGCAGAGAGTCTGCCAACCGAGCCAGAGCCAGGCAGAGGCAGCCAGACCCAGAGAGGAGCCGGGGAGGAGCAGATGGAAGGGGTGGGGGGAGGGGGGGCCAAGCCAGAGGGCAGTGAACGGGGCGGTGGGGGGCACCAGGAGCCCTGGAGCTGCGCTGACCCCTGTGCCTCCTCCCTCCCTCCCTGGTCCCACACGCAGGCCCTGACTCTGCCACGCCCTGAGGCCCTGGCTCTGCCACGCCCTGAGGGCCTGGCTCTGCCGACAGCGGCAGGCATGGTGATTCCAGGGACACTCCCATCCGGCCCCCCGGGACCAGAGAGGGTGTCTGCCAGTGTTTCCGTCACAGCCCTCCGGAGGCGTCTGCTGTTTGGGCTGCATCAGCTGTCTGGGGTGGCAGGTAGGTGGGGCCGCCTCATACCAGAGCTCCTGGAGCCTGGGCTGGGACGCAGGGCCCCCCAGTGAGCCCGGTCTGACCCCCTTCACCCCCACCCGGGTTGGGAACTGCCCGGATCACCTCAGGAACCCTGTCCTGGACAGGGCAGCAGCAGCTGATCATCTGTCTAGCTGATTCCCTCTCCCCAGGATTGAATAATGGAGCCCATGGGACCAGATGGAGGACGAGGGTATGGAGAAGGTGGGGAATACTGATGGAATAAAAGCAAGAGGGGGCTGGGGCCGGGCCCTGAGAAACCTTGGAAGGGGTCTCCAAGCCCTCTTCCCCCCAGGCCGGGGTGGGGCGGTCCAGGCCCCCCGACTCTGGGCTCATCTAGCTTCTCCCAGGGCGCGGAGGTTTCTCCACCGGGGGCCGAGCCGCCGTGTGCATCAGTCTGCAAATGCTGCAGTCAGGAGAGAGAAACCGCTCGGCAGCCGGAAGGTAAAGTGGAACGTCGAGAATGACTGAAGAGCTGCCCTCTTGTGGAGCGTGGTCGGGTGGGTGTGCGGGCTGAAAGCGGAGCACCCCACCTTCCTGTCTCCCCCAGCCTTTGAATCTCCCTCTCCAGATTATGCCAGGGCGGTTCTGGCTTCTCGCCTTAGTAACCGTAGGTCACTGTTGCCGGCCAGCCAACTAAGCAAGCTGTCAGGACCACGCCAGCTGCACTGGCTAACTTGTTATACCCAGAAGCTCTAGTAAGTGCCCTCCTAGCGGTGAACTTGGCCCCATGCAGTGTAAGATCCACTGGCCTAACACCCTGAGAACCCACTGCTGTGCACGTTCCCCAGGGTTGACTCTACATCTGTCTGCAAGTCTTGCCCTTCAGTGTAAGAGCAGTTCCCTTCTGGGTCGTAGTGAGCACCTGTCCTCTGGAGCGTGCTGAGGCTTGACCCCTGGCATCTGTGGGTCTAGTGGCAGCAGGGAATGCTTGTGAGCAGGATGGCTGGTGGTCTCCTCACACTGGTAAGGGAGGCTCCCAGTGACTTGGGAGTTTGAGATCATCTTTCCTTTGGGTCCAACCAGATGACCCGATTCCAGATTTCTGGATCCCACTGTTTACCAGTCAGTGCCCTCACTTTCGTATGACAAACTTGTCAAGACTGGGAATTCAACTGTCATAACTCAGCAACTCGAAAACCCAAATGTTGTGTTGTATTTTCAGCAGTATCTACAAGTAAGAACTTTGGGGGGCGGTGGGGGATTGCCATGGGAGCTTTCCAATTCTGAAGGGGTGACTTGAGCTGGGCACTCCAGGCAATCTGCCTGGCCCTATCTTTAGAACTGTCATTACTGCCTCAGCATCAAGTGCAGCAGCCATAGGGCCTCCCGGGGCACAAGGCTTCAGTTGGCACCTCATCACGACCCCAGGCAATAGCGTTTTCGTGATGCGGTTGCATGCCTTAGATTTTTGGTTTTTTTTTTTTTTAATTTTTATTTTATATTGGAGTATAGTTGATTAACAATGTTGTGTTGGTTTCAGGTGTATAGCAAAGTGATTAATATGCATGTATCTGTTCTTTTTCAAATTCTTTTCCCATTTAGGTTATTACAGAAAGAATATGGAGCAGAGTTTCCTGTGTTATACATTAGGTCCTTGTTGGTTATCTATTTTTTAAATGTTTTTGGCCGCACTACGCGGCTTGTGGGGTCTTAGTTCCCCAACCAGGGATTGAACCTGCGCCCTCAGCAGCAGAAGCATGAGAGTCTTAACCACTGAACCACCAGGGAATTCCCTATCTATTGATATTTTAAATATAGCAGTGTGTACATGTCAATCTCAAACTCCCAGTCCATCCCTCCCCCCCACCCTTCCCCCCTGGTAACCTTAAGCTTGGTTCTCTAAATGAGTCTGTTCCTGTTTTTTAAGTTCATTTGTATCTTTTTTTTTTTTTAGATTCTGTATATAAGTGATATCGTATGATGTTTTTCTCTGACTTAATTCACTTAGTATGATAATCTCCAGGTCCATCCATGTTGCTGCAAATGGCATTATTTCATTCTTTTTAATGGCTAATATTCCACTGTATATATGTACATCTTCTTTATCCATTCATCTGTCGATGGACGTTTAGCCCATGGATTTCTAATGTCTCCTTTCCCACTGCCGAGGAGCTTAGCAATGCACTCAAGCCAAAGGCGGGATGAAACCAAGCCCCAAATCCCATCTTTGTGTGTTTATCTCTGGGAACACTCCAAATGCCAGTGCTCTATCAGTTTGGATCCAGTCTGGAGAGAAGAAAAACCATACGGTAATTTGAACAGGGAAAAGTTTAATATAGAGAATTAATGACTTTCACAGCAAAGTGAAATAAGGAGGGAGATTCATTGGTAAGGTGCCTTGGAATTTACTGGAAATCCACCTTCGGGGGTGTGGTGGAGAGGCATTCACAGGGAGGTGCGTCAGTGGAGGCTCTATAGAACTGCCAGGTCAGGGGTGGTGGGTGCCGGGGAAGCTGCTGACCACCTGACGCTTCAGGAAGCAGGTGCGCGGGGCAGTCATGTGCTGCAGGGCCGCTGAGCTGGCACTCCTGAGTGCCGCCAGAAAGCAAAAGCCTTGCCTCTCTCAAGGAACGTCTCTCGAGCGCCCTCTACTGGCAAACCTTATCAGGCCACTTAGCAAAGGAAAAATATTTCAAAGGCCCAGGATCAATTTTCACAGAGCAAACAAGCAAGCTGAATTTGGAGCTGAGTCAGTAACTCAATAAGCGAGAACACTGGGGCTTAGGATGCTCCCAGCATTTAGTGGGTGTGGCCCAGGGATGCTTCAGCCTGAGCTTAAGTCGTCCCACACAGGGAAGAACCATCCCTATAAAATGCCCATAGCACCTTCTGTATCAGTCAGGTCCTGGCAGGAAACAGTAGCACACTCAAGTGAGATAATCCTACAAGAGTCTTCTGAGAAAAGTCGAGAAGTTTCTCTGACAAAAGTCAAGAGAAGTTTCTTGACATAGAGGTGGGCGCGCTGTGGGAGCACCACAAGGGAGAGTGCAACTCCCTGAGGCTACTTGCAGCCAGAAGCCCTTACCTCCCCCAGGCCTGAAGAGGCAGGAGAAGGGGGTTCCTGGAACTGGGAAGGAGAGAATGGTGTGGAAAGGGCTGCCTGACAGGCTGACAGGAGCTGCGAGCTTCACCCCAGGGTGCAGCCAGCCAGAGCACCCCCGCGGTAGGGGACAAGCCACCTCACTCCTCTTGCCTCTGACCTGCCAGTGCCTCTGATCCTAGCCCGACCCCCCGAGTTGAGTGAACCCAACTGGAAGCTAGAAGAAGGGTGAGCTGTTAACCTCTCAGCACAACCCGGCTGAGACCCAGCTCCACACGGACGGGGCCAAAGGCTAGGCAGGGATGGGGCTGCTGGCTGTGTCGCGGGACTGCTCCTCTGGCCCGAACTTGAGGCCCTGGGCCCAGTCAGCCCCCAGAACCTCACAGTTGGGCAGCATCTCCTCCACCAAGATCTGAGTGAGGCCTGGGTTGGACACGGCAGGAAGGTGAGAGATGTCCAGTCTGCGGAGGTTCCTGAGGAGGCAAGGTTGGGGCGTGAGGACACGCATGAGGACGGCGTCTGTGGCAGCGGGTGTATGGGAGCGTACCCACCCCCACGTTAACCCCTAGCTTTCTAATAAAAATCTTTGTTCAACTACGTGAGACCCACCGTGTTCATTACAAACAGACACCTCTGGCTCCTACTGTGGTTCTGCAACAGTGTAAATTTCTTGGGGTCTCATTAAAACAAAAAGAAAGGCAGGCTAGGAGTTCTCCCATCCTCCTAGAGGCTCCCTGTGCCACTCATCTGTGCTGACCCACCGCAAACGCTCTAGGTCCACCGTGGAGGCAGGGATGTGGGAAGTGCCCAAGAGCGCCCCTCCCTGGCTGGGGGCCCAGCCTGAGCTGAGGTCTCACTGGAGGTGGTGGAGGCAGGCGAGGCCCCGTTCAGAGATGCGGGGGCAGCCGGCCAGCGAGAGCTCTCGTAGCGAGTTGGCTAGCTGGTAGAGGCGGCTGAGACACCAGTCATCCACGTGGGGACAACACTGCAGCGACAGGGACTGGAGCTCCTTCAGGGCCACTGCAGGGGCAGAGGGCAGACGGCACTGAGGGTCCTTCTGGGGCCCACCACGAAAGGGAAAGCGCAGACCTTGCCCACCTCCACCCGTCCCCGCCACACCCCACTCACAGAGGTTGTCCAGGCCTTGGTAGGTGATGGCACAGCCGCTGGCGTCAACAGCTTCTATAGGCACCTCCCGGAGCTTCCAGAGCTCACCAGAGAGACCACGCCCATTTGGCCGCATCCACTCCTTGTCCTGAAACCTGGAAGGGGAGAGAGGGAGTGTCAGCAGGGTCCCCCAGGCCACCAACCTCTTGAGAACACTCCCAGCCCCGTAATAAGAGAACATGGCACACGCACTACACACTAGGCCCTGAACTAAGGGCTTTACGTGTCTGGTCTCACTGGATCCCCTGACAACCCCATCAAAGATGGAACATCTGGCCAATTTTACATACCTGGAAGTTGAGGGTCGAAGAGATTACTGAGAACAGAGAAAAGAGCTATACAAGAATCCTTGTAGATGGGCAAAAGTTGAGGTGTTTTCCGACAGGTACATCATCACTAAGGAATGCTGGAGGAAGTGCTCAAACCAAGTGACAATTTTACTTGGAACCAAGATGAGGGACAGATGAAGCCTACGTGAATTGTTTTCAAAAAAGGAAAGCGAAGGGGAAAACGGAGGAGGAGGAAGGCAAGAGAAAGGAGGGGAAAGGAGGAAGGAGAAGACGCACTAACGCCGACTGAGCCACGTGCTAAGCCAGCCTGTGACCTGTGACAAGTGTCCAGATTGCAAAGTATCTTTGAATCTTTACAGCGCACCTTGTAGGTTAGACACAACTACCATCCCATTTTACAGATGTCAGGAACAAGTCCCCAGCCACACAGCCAGGAGCGGGCAGAGACCAGGGCACGCACGGAAGCCTGTCTGACTGACTGAAGAGCCCGGGGCTTAGAGAGCCGCTCTCCCGCCTCCCCCAACCCCACTGTGACACCTTTGCCATCATACTTGACTGCGCCTCCCTGCTTCAGGATGAAATAGGCACCTGCGACGTAGGGGCCATATCGCTCCTTGATGTAGGTGGAGGACCTGCCGGGAGAACAGTAGCCGAGGGTGAGCCTTGGGAACACCACAACCCTCGCCAGGCCCCAGTGCAGCTGAGAGGGTCAGAGTCCACAGCACAGGACTGAGACTGGCAGGCAGGAAAGACTGCAAATATTTACTGAGGGCCTGTGAAGTGCTGGGCACCGGGGGACAGTGGTAATCAAAAGGCAGATAAGTGTCCCTGCCCTTGTGAAGTTATTTCACCGGGGAAACAGGTAACCGGGAAGTAAAAACAAATTGCAGAGTGTCAATTCTGTGATGAAATTAACACCAAGGGACAGACCAGGAGTGGCTTGGGTCAGGGGTAGGGATAGAGGAGGCTAATTTAATTTGGGTGTTAAGAAATGCTGCTTGGAAGAGGTGACACTTGAGCAGAGATTTGAGTGTGGGAAGGAATGCAGAGGCCAAGGTAAGAATCTGCCAGGCTAAGGGAACAGCTAGTGCAAAGGCTCAGGGCTTGAATTACGATGGTTGAACGAATAGCAATAAGGACACCGAGCTAGCGGGGGTGAGGGGTGTCCCTGGTAGGGGTCTCAGAGCTCAGTAGGGGCCAGGTTTTCGGCCTTAGAGTTTGGCTTTTATTCTAGTTGTGGTTGGAAACCATTTGAGGGTTTTTTTTTAAGATTTTTTTTTTTTTTGATGTGGACCATTTTTAAAGTCTTTATTGTATTTGTTATAGTAATGCTTCTGTTTTATGTTTTGGTCTTTTGGCCATGAGGCATGAGGGATCTTAGCTCCACGACCAGGGATTGAACCTGCACCCCCTGTATTGGAAGGCAAAGTCTTAACCACTGGACTGCCAGGGAAGGCCCCATTTGAGGGTTTTAAACAAAGTAGTAATGTTATCTGTTTCCCTTTCTTAAGAGTCCTCTGGCTGCTGTGTAGACTATAATAGGGGGCAAAAGGTGACCAGTTAGGAGACTACAGTAATCGAACCATAAAATGAAAGGGCTCAGACCAGGCTATAAACAGCGAGGAGGTGACCGACCACCGGTCAAATTTGGGATATTCTGGTATTTTATTGATGGACTGGATGTGGAGGGAAGGGATGCAAAGAGAGGAATCAGGGATTCCTTAGAATGTGGTCTGAACAACTGGGTAAGCAATGGTGCCGTTGACTGGGATGGAGAAGGCTTGGGGGTGAGAAGACTTTTTACGGGGGAAACCAAGGGTTAGCCATGTTAGGTCTGAAGTACCAGCTAGACCTCCAAGAAGAGATGGGCGTTGGGTTGCGTCTGTGAGCCGGAGAGCTTGGGAAGTGTGTGGGCTGGAGACGAAGATGCAAGTGGGCAAGGCTGGCACTGGAAGCCCCAGGGCTGCCAGGAGTGGCAAGGGCAGGGTGGGCACTGACTGGGGAGGCCTGAACAGCAGGGTCGTGCAGGCCAGGGGTTCTCACCGATTTTTCTGGAGCACCTTCAACACCTGCTTCTGGAGCAGGTACTCCCTCACAGCCTCCACATCATAGAAGTGGTCAGCCAGGAACTGGAGCAGCGTCCTCCCCTTCCTCTGACTGCCCTCTGGGTCCACTGACCTGCTCAGGCCACGGATGCCGCTCGTACCCCTGTTCCATACTGGAGCCACCAGGCGAAGGGACTGCGGAGAAGAGGGGAGGAGAGGCTGAGCCTGGAGCCTCCTGTGAGACACACAGCCAGGTCCCCCTGCTTTTGCTCCCAAATCTCCCCTCCTCAGTGCTTCCCTGCTCACTTAATTCTTCTCTTAGAACTTCCAATTCTTTCGGATCCATAAAATTTCCCCATGTTTCCCCCAAGTTCCTCCCCTTAATCAACCTTAAATTCTCTTTGATTTGGCCAAACGGTCTTGGTTTTCCTAAATTCTCCCCCTAATTTCCCCCTAAGCCCTCACTTTCTCTCAAAACCTCTGTTATCTGAACTCTTAATGTCCCACAAATTCTCCCCTTAATTTTATCCAAATCCCACCAGACTTCCTGAATAACGCATTCCTTTCCCCCAAATATAATCTTAATTTCTCTCCAAACCACCCTTAGCTTATCTCTTAAAGCTCCCAAACTCTTCCTTCAATTTCCCCTCCAAAGTTTTCTCTTAGTCTGCCTCAATTTCTCTTTTTGCTTTAACCAAGTTCTCCCGATAATTTTGCCCAAATCCTTACTTTCCCTTAAAATTCCTCTTAAGTTCCCAACCTCTTACTTTAAGTTTTCCTAGGTCCATTCCTTGATTTTGCCCAATTCCTTCTAAATTCTCTCCACAATATGGCAAATCCTCCCCTTAATTTCCCCTAGGTCCTTCCCTTAGAATTCCCAAATTCACCTCTTGGATCCTGCCCCCAACCCCCATCATCCCTTTGATTTTCCATCAAAATTTCTAACTCTCCCATGAGTTTTCCTCACCTTTGGTTCCCTACCCTTGCACCTCAAATCCCAGTTTCTCTGCCAATCCCTCCCAAACCCTCATCCCTTGCAGGTCCCACTCTCGCCAGCCCCTCGGCTCCAGGAGCTCGCAGTCGGATCCCTCCCTCTGATTGGCTGGGCGCGCTTTCTCGGACCGCACGCGCTGCTTCCCCATTGGTTGCCACTGGTTTCTCTCCTCCGCGGCCTGGGAGCCTCACCGATCCTTCCCGGCCCCCGACGGCTACACGTCTCCGCGCCCAGCTCCAGACCTAGCGGGAGAGGCCCCCTGCTCCCCCTCGCTACTTGGTCCCTGGGCGCCGACAGAGGCCTTGAAAGCAGAGCGGACATTAATTGGGGGGCTCCAGAAGCTCCGTTCACTTACCGCCCCGGGGGCCGCCATCTCGCTAGGATTACGTAACCGGAAGGGGCTGGTCTTTTCTTACCTAACCCACCCGGTTCAGGGTTGGGCGTCTTCTCTTATGGCCGCGCCCCGTCCATTTTTCCAGCCCTCCTCTTAAAGGAGTACACACTTATTACTCTTCTCGGGTTTAGGGATTGCTTGGAGCTCCCTCTGCCATGGGCCTTAAAATGGGACTCGGCAGCCTTTCCCTAGGAGAGCGTGGGCAGTTCTTCCTGTCGGAATACCATCCTTCCCTCCGACTGCACTCTTAGTCCGCCTGAGGACTTCTTCTACCTCTAACTTGCTACCTCCTTAGAACAGGGAATGATGCGTTGAGAAACTGTCCGCCTCTTCTTTAAAGCAGGGTCAGGGAAGGGAAGCGTCCAGTAGATGGTGAGGTTAGACCTCAGGGTAAAGGACAGAGGTGAGATCTCAAGACTAGTATTGTGATGTGTTGGCAATTTCAGTTTGGAGTTCCAGGCTACATCTTAATATGAAAATTCAATATGAAGTCTTGTGGATAGAATTACTCATTCATTCCTTCTACAAATATTTACTGAGTCCTACCACGTGGCAAGCACTGTTGCAGTAGTGAGGTTGCCATGGGACCAAGACTCTTTCTCAGGGAGTCGACATTCCAGGCAGGAAGAGGCTAGATAAGAAACACATGAACACACACACAAAAAAAAGAAAGAAACACATGAATAAGCAAGATAATTTCAGACAGTGTTTGATAAGAGGCAAATAAAAACAGGCAATATAACAGGGAGTGACTGGGGCACAGGGCCATCAGCAAAGACCTCTGTGAAGTGGTGACATTTAAGTGGAGGTGAAGGATAACAAGGAAACAGCCATTCAAAGATCTGGGGGAGGGCTTCCCTGGTGGTGCAGTGGTTGAGAGTCCGCCTGCCGATGCAGGGGACACGGGTTCGTGCCCCGGTCCGGGAGGATCCCACGTGCCACCGAGCAGCTGGGCCCGTGAGCTATGGACGCTGGGCCTGCGCGTCCGGAGTCTGTGCTCCGCAGCGGGAGAGGCTGCAGCAGTGAGAGGCCCGCGTACCACAAAAACAAAGATCTGGGGAAATAGTGTTTCAGGCAGAGAGGTACAGCCAGTGCAAAGGCCCAGAGGTGGGACCAGCTTGCAGAGAGAGAGCTGGGAGACTGGATCAGAGAGGTTAGCAAGAAACTGCTTTATTCCATTTGCCGGGGCATGCCACGATCTGATTTACATTTTGTAAAGATCATTTCTGCCAGGTGGTGAACAGACCTTAGAGAGCAAGGGGGGAAGCACGGAGCCAGCAAAGAGGCTACTGCAATCGTCCAGACAAGAGATGAATGGGGTCAGCAGTAGGGACCGGGCAGTGGAAGTGCTAAGTGCTCAGATTATGAGTCTTTTTTTTTTTTTTTTTTTTTTTTTTTTTTTTGCGGTACGCGGGCCTCTCACTGACGCGGCCTCTCCCGTTGCGGAGCACAGGCTCCGAACGCGCAGGCTCAGCGGCCATGGCTTACGGGCCCAGCTGCTCCGCGGCATGTGGGATCTTCCCGGACCGGGGCACAAACCCGTGTCCCCTGCATCGGCAGGCGGACTCTCAACCACTGCACCACCAGGGAAGCCCCTATGAGTCTGTTTTGAAGACAGAGCCAATAGTTTGAGAAACTAAAAGGATAGCGATGCCATTTTTGGAGAGGGGGAAACTGGGAAAGTAGCAGGTATGGAAGGGTAGGTGTGGTAGGCTGAATAGTTCCCCCGCCCCCCAAATGTCTACATCCTGATTCCTGGAACTCGTGAATATGTTACATTGTATGGTAAAGGGAAGATGTGATTAAGAATCTTGAGATGGGGAGATTATCCTGGATAATCCCGACAGGCCCAATGTAATCACAAGAGTTCTATTTTTTTTTCTTTATAAATGTATTTTTATTTATTTATTTATTTTTGGCTACATTGGGGCTTCGTTGCTGCACGCGGGCTTTCTCTAGTTGCAGCGAGCAGGGGCTACTCTTCGTTGCGGTGCACAAGCTTCTCATTGCGGTGGTTTCTCTTTGTTGAGAAGCACGGGCTCTAGGCGCGCGGGCTTCAGTAGTTGTGGCTCGCGGGCTTAGTTGCTTCGCGGCATGTAGGATCTTCCCAGACCAAGGCTCGAACCAATGTCCCCTGCATTGGCAGGCGGATTCTTAACCACTGCGCCACCAGGGAAGTCCCAAGGGTTCTATTTTACTTTTTTTTTTTTTTTTGGTCACGCTGCACAGCATGTGGGAATCTTAGTTCCCCGACCAGGGATCGAACCTGTGCCCCCTGAAGTGGAAGTGCAGAGTCTTAACCAGTGGACTGCCAGGGAAGTCCCATAAGAGTCCTATTTATTTATATAAAAATATTTATTTATTTATTTGTCTGCGCCAGGTCTTAGTTGCAGCATTCAGGATCTTTAGGTGTGGCATGCAAACTCTTAGTTGCCTCATGTGGGATTTTAGTTCCCTGACCTGGGATCGAACCCCGGGACCCCTGTGCTGGGAGTGCAGGGTCTTAGCCACTGGACCCCCAGGGAAGTCCCAGAGTCCTATTTAGATGGAGGCAGGAAAGTCAGTAAGTAGAGGATGTGATGACAGGTGCAAGATGTTGGAATGATGCAGGGAAGGGCGTATGAGCCAATGAATGCAGGTGGCTTCTGGAAACTGGGAAAGGCTTGGAAATGGATTCTCCCCCACAGCCTCCAGAAGGAACCCAGACCTGTGGACACACTTTAGACTTCTGACCTCTAGAACTGTAAGATGATAAGTCTGTGTTGTTTTAAGCCGCTAAGTTTGTGGTCACTTGCTACAACAGCAATAGGAAACGAATACAGTGGGGTAGATCCCAGCTGAGAGTTCTGTTCTGACCACATTCACCCTGAGATGCCTGAGACATCCAGCTGGAGATGCTGAGTAGTGGTCTGGAGGTCAGGACTGGAGTCGGAGACTTGGGAGACTTGGGAGCCATTGGCGTATAGGTGGAATTTTAACACCCCTGCAAGAGGGGTTCTAGCGGAGGGAGGCCCGCAGCGCCTCCCCACCTTCTCCATGACGGGGCCCAAGCTGCTAGTGATGATGTCTCTGGGCAAGTCTAGGGTCGGCAGAACTGGCTGCTCAGCTGTGGGCCAACAGCCTGGACACCGAGGCACCCTGGCCAAGGGATAATTTTCTCGGAAGCCACTCCTGGCTCCCCAGGCACATTGTCTGGGAAGCCCTGGGAGGGCCCGAGTGGAGAAGACTGGCAAGGACCAAGCCAGGGGAAGCCAGAGATCAAGCGGAGAAGAGGGCTACAGGGGAGGCTGGGGAGGAGGAGTGGGTGGGACCCAGGAGGGGGCGGGACGAGGTGAGGCCGGGTCCACACACTGGGGAGGGGTCAGGCCTGAGAAGAGGCTGGGAGAGGTGGAGTTTGACCTCTGCCAGAGGGGCTGAGGTTGGATCCTTGTGAGCAGAGTTAAGGTTAGACTTTGATTAAAACAAAACAAAAACACCGGAAGCTGCTGATTCTCAGTGGAGAATGGACTTTGGGTGGCCTGAGGGGGTGGGGCTGGCCCTCTCCTACCCGCCACTGCCCTTTACTCCCCCCACCCAGCCCCCGGCTCCCCAGGGGACTGGGTCACTCTGGACCTTGCTACTTCCTGCTCCTGGCTGCCACTGCTCAGAGACTATGGAGCTGTGGAAGCAGCTGAGGCAGGCTGGACTGGTGCCCCCAGGGCTGGGCCCACCCCCGCGGGCCCTGAGGGTGGTGCCCCCAGTGAAGAGGGTGGATCAGACCCTCATGTTCCCAGGGGCTGACACTGGAGGTGCCAGGGAGAGTCTGCTGTGGCTCTGGAAGGAGCTGGTGAGTGAGGGGTTTGGAGGGGTAAGAGATGGGGTGGGGGGAGTGGATAAATGAATAGGAATGAATGTAAGTAAAAAGGGCCAGAGATTGAAAGACAGAAAGTCAGAGACAGGAATAGAGAGATAGAGGCAGAGGCAGACACAGACACACCCAGAGAACGATGGACACAGACAGAGACACAGAAAGACGCAAAGAGTGAGAGACAGGACTAGAGAGAGGCAGAGACAGAGAGACCCAGAAAGAGACGAGAGATGGAAAGCAGAGATTGAGAGCCGCAACAAGGACAGACTCATTAAATCTGAAAGACAGAGAGGTGGAGACAGTCCAAGGCAGGGGCAGAGAAATAGAGACAGACAGAAAGACAGGGATATGGAAGGACAGAGACAGACAGAGACAGCCAAGTAGAGACAGAGAGATGGAGACAGATCACAAGAGAGGGAGACCCAAGAAGAGAGACAAAGAGACTAGGGCTCAAGACACAGAGAAAGAACGAGAGAGATGGAGACAGCGAGGGACAATGAAATGGAGAGACCAAGACAAAGGGAGACAGGGCAGAGATCAGAGACAGAAGCAGGACGGCAGAGTCCAGGGACAGAGTGAGGATCCCACCTGCGGTGCTGTGGGCCAGGACTGTTAAAGAGAAAGTAATTTATGACACCTGTTAAAGATGGCAAGGCTCTAGGTATGAAGACTGCTGTCATGGGGATTTTGCAGTAGAGGAGAGAGATTGGGCTCAGCTCTGAAAACAGCATGGGCAAGGGGGAATTTACGGCCAAGGAGCAGGAGAGGGGTCAGGGGGTAGAAAATTCCAAGGAGGAAACATCAGGGGTATAGGGGGGATTCTGGCTCAACCTATCTAGCAGGATTCTTGCTGAAGGCAGGTCAGGGTGAGCCGCCATCACCTGGGGGAGGGGGGAGGGTGAGGAACCCGATCAAATAAGGAGGAGGGGGGATTCTTGCCAAAACTGGATTTTACAAAGAAGTGCTGATGGGCCTAGGAAAAGGTTCAGGATCCTGGGACTTGAGCTGAGACCTGCTCCCACACAGGTTTCATGGCAGGGGCACACTAACCCCTTGCCCTCTGGGGTGGGATGCCCATGACTGCCCCTTCCCACCCGCAGGTGAACCTCCGCCTGGTGGATGTCCAGCTGCTGGGCCAGCTATGCAGCCTGGGCTTGGAGATGGGGGCAATTCAGGAGGAACTGATCACCTTCCTGGAAGAGGAGGAGGACAGAGAGCTGGAAGGGAAGCAGGAGGGGGCCTGCGGTCCAGCCCCAGGTCACCGCCTCCCTGACTTTGAAATGACTATCTGAGGCCCTGCTGCTGTGCTTTTGGACCCATGAATGGTATGCAAATTTATGCCAAGAAGATGGGGAGATTTGCAGGTCAAATCAACCTGCAAACGTCGATTTGGCATTGGCACGCGCTCCTTGAGCAAGTGCTTTCTCTGAAAATGTCGGAGATTAGATTGAGGGGTGGGCCCCTGAGCTGCGGGCATGTTTGCAGGGGATGCGGGAGGCTTGCAGAGGAACTCTAGGTGTATTTGCAGACGCGCTGCAGGTGTGTTGCAGGGGAGGCGTGGGTCTTTGCAAATATGATGGAGATGTGTGCAGATGGCTATTGAGTGCTTGAAAAGTGGCTAGGTCTGACTGAGGTGTGCTGTACGTGTAAAATACAC